AACCTGTGCTTTATTCGACAGTCACTGTTTTGCCAGGCCCTGAACTGGGAATACAAAGATGAGGAAGCCCTCATCTCTGTCCTCAGGTTAGAAACTTCTTCAAAGTAGAAATCACATTTACTTATCCTTGCTGGCCCCACCCTACTTACCACAGCAATGTGTAAAGAGAAGATGCTCAAATTATTTGTTGACTAGACAGACACCTGATTCATGGGGAGTCAGATGTAACTGAGGACCTTGTCCTGTCACTACCCTTGCAAGAGAAAGTCACTTACCTGTTGAGTCTGTTCCTTCATCTATAGAGTGGAAATACACAATAGTCCTTTCCCCACAGGGCAATGGAGAGGAGAATGCATGTTAGGCCCTTAGTGCAGTGCTTGGTGCACACACACACACACACACACGCACACACACACAAAGGTCAGGCATGGTGGCTCACACCTGTAATCCCAAGATTTTGGGAGGCCTAGGCAGATGAATTACATGAACTCAGGAGTTCAAGACCAGCCTGGGCAACATGGTGAAACTCCATCTCTACTAAAATACAAAAAATTATCCAGACCTGATGGCACGTGTCTGTAATCCCAGCTATTCGGAAGGCTGAGACATGAGAATCACTTGAACCTGGGAGGCAGCGGTTGCAGTGGGCCGAGATCGCACCACTGCACTCCAGCCTGGGCAACACAATGAGACTCTGTCTCAAAACAAAAACAAAAACAAACAAACAAAAATTTTATCCTGTTGCTAGCTAGTGAGGGGTTTGCTGTACCCCTCTTTGTCATCCTCAGGTAAAAGCTATGAACCTATTTCCACTACTAGGGGCAGGTAGCAAATTTACTCAGCCAGATCCTGAGTGATGAGGAAGAAAAAAAGAGTGAGAAGCCTGGGCTTCCTATTCCCCGAGAAGCCCTCCCCAGGATCTTGATTCCCATGCAGTCCTTGTTCCTCCTTTCTGTCTAGACAGCTCTCCCCTGAAGAAACTGCAAACCACAGACTGTCTAATGACAAAGCTTGCCCCAGACACTAGTCCCCTGACACATGATTCATTTAACCCTCTTTAAAAAAGAACAAGCCTGACTCCTACCTCTGAAGCAGAGAGGGACTCTATGGGCATAGAATTGGCTGGGTGTCTTCTTCTTTCATTAATTTATCCATCCATCCATCCATCCATCCATCCATCCATCCATCCATCCATCATCCTTCCTTGGTTAAATGCTTACAACGTACCAGATTCAGTGCTAGACACTGGGGATACCTAGGTGAGTAAGACACAAGCTGGCCTCTAGAAACTCATAATATTGGGGGTGGTAAACACAAAATCATTGTGAAAAGTGTGGCATCCCAACTATAAGTAGAGTCATAGGGAACACTCCTGTGTGCAAGGTCCTGTGTTGTGTACTTCAGATGCATGATTTCAGTGTGGCCCTCATCATAACTAACCCCATGAGATAGGTATGCTTAATTGTGATCATTTTACAGATGGGCAAAATGAGACTCGCAGAATTTAGATAACTTGTCCAGGATTGCACAGCTATTAAACAGCTCAACTAAGATTCAGACCCAGTCTGATCACTGGACTTATACTTTTGTTTTTCCCCAACAGTGTCAAGTTTATTCAACGGTGAGCAACTTGAAATATTTTATTTCTATTAAGCATTGATAGAGTAAAACAAAAAATTTTATAGATTTTAAAAATAAAAATGAGATTTCAAAATAATTCTAAGCTTTTAGTGAGCTACTTTGTTTCACACATATAAGTTCCTAGAGTTTCGTGCTTTCCCCCTGATGCTGGAGTATTGCAGTACAAATTTTTGAGATGCATATATAGGGTAAGAAACTGAGAAAAACCAAGCTTTAAAAGAAATATATTGGGTATAATTTAAGAGGGATCTTGGGCAATTGATAGGAAAAATTGGGTATTAAGTTTCAGGGCATCAGGGATTAGCAATCTGTCCTGTTTATCATGTCATTCCCTTGCTCAAAGCCCTTCCCTGGCTCCCATCACTCTAAGGATAAAATCCAGCTCCTTTTTCTGGCATTCAAGGTTCTTCAGATTCTGGCCCCTTCCTACTCCTCCAGCTTCATGTCAACCACTCTCCACAATTCTAGTAATACTGAAAGACTTGCAGTGGCCCTAACTGAATTCTCTTTAGCCTCTGTGCCTTTGCACAAGTATTCCTTCTACCAGGGAACTTCTCCCCGTCCCTTGCTCTTTCTTTGCTTAGATGCCTCCCACTCATCCTTCAAGACTCAGCACAGGGCTACCCTTCCCAGCTGCTTCCTGACTGCTTGCCTACCTCCCAGGTGCTCCACTCTGAGCCCCATGGGCCCCCTGCTACCTCTCTCCTGGTCTTCCCCACTGTGCTGTGCTTGACTGTGTGTGGGTTTTCCTTTGTGGACTGTGAGCTTCTTGAGGGCAAGGACTGTGCTTAACACATCCACTGGCCCAGGATAAGGGCTCAGAAGCTGAAGTGAGCCCTCTCCAGCAGACCCAGCCTTTTCCTTCAGCCAGCTTTCCAATGTCATTTACCATCTTCAGCTGCTTGTATTGTTCAACATTGTCAGCAGATGTTTTGTCAGAAGGCGCTGAGATGCCGTACAAGGTTTACCCAAGGTTCGCCCTGACGGGGCGGCTTCTGGGGCTGTTGGGGTCTTTTCATTGAGGACACACACCCAGGATGTGTCTGTATTTACTCTGCCATTTGGATTTTCAATTGCAGGATCTTAGGCTAGGACCCCAGCAGCAGCTGCAGGTGCTTCGGCTCTGTAGACAGGACGCTTTCCTCCCTCCTGACTTCAACCTAGGGCATGAGCCGCAGTGCCTATTTTGGGAAATGCCTACCTTTGTCATTGCTCAACCTTCCTATTTCCTATTTGGGAAAAGAGCCTAGGGCCTGAGTAGAGTGGAGGCCGAGGTGTGGTTGCCGATAACTCCTATTTGCCAGTGATTTATTTGCCTGGGATTTGCACTAAGTTGAAAAGAACGTTTGCATTATTAATGATCATTGATCACAGGCTTCCAAAACAGAGAGCGATTGAGAGAGATGGAGGCTCCAGGCCAATCATCAAATGGTAAACCAAGAGGGTGGGGTGTGAAGAAAGGAGGGGAGGGCTAGGTTTATAGAGAATTATGCGGAGACAGAAGGACGCAGAAGGACGCAGAATAGAAAGTCTAGACGAGCTGCTGAGTTTTGGGTGTGCCAGATGTCCAACAGCTGTGTGGGCTGCAAATAAACCAGTGCTGGTGGGTGCTGCTGGCCACTCCCTACACCCAGCGAAGGAGACTTCAAGACAAAGAATGTTACCAGGGACAGAGGGTCATTTTGTAATGATAAAAGGGTCAGTTCATCAAGAAGAAATAACAGGGTTGGCCACGGTGGCTTACGCCTGTAATCTCAGCCCTTTGGGAGGCCAAGGTGCGAGGATCACTTGAGTCCAGGAGTTTGAAACCAGCCTGAACAACATAGCAAGACTCTGTCTCTAAAAAACAAACAAAAACACACAAAACAACAATCTTAATGCCCCAAACTAATAACAGGTTTCAAAACACATGAAGAACAAGCAGATAAAAACGCAGTAAGAAGCCGGATGTGGTGGCTCATGTCTGTAATCCCAGCACTTTGGGAGGCCGAGGCGGGCAGATCACGAGGTCAGAAGATCAAGACCATCCTGGCTAACACAGTGAAACCCCGTCTCTACTAAAAATACAAAAAATTAGCCGGGCGGGTGGCACGTGCCTGTAGTCCCAGCTACTCAGGAGGCTGAGGCAGAAGAATTGCTTGAACCTGGGAGGCGGAGGTTGCAGTGAGCCACTGCGCTCCAGCCTGGTCAACGATAGAGCAAGACTCCGTCTCAAAACAAACAAACAAACAAAAAACCGATAAGGATAGAGAAGGCAAGGCCAGTTCCGCATGAGCTGCGAGAAACCTGGACACAAGCCATGGCCGGTGTTCGTGCCTCTTCAGTGTCTTCGGTGGAAGCCTCTTGGCCGGTCCTGCCTTTGTGCTCAAGTCTTCTCTCTCCCCTGGTTCTCTGCAACCAGGCTGGTTTATCTCAGCACCCCAAACACCTGCTGTGGAGGCTGGCACTCGGAATCTGTCCTTTGAAGGACGCTGGGAGCTGCCCCTCCCCTACCTCTCTGGCCATCCCTCCCGCCCCCCACCCCGCTTCCATTCATCCAGCTTGGACACCATCCGGCTCAGGGGCTTTCCCAAGACCTACTCCTTCACCTCCTGACTTTGCTCAAATGCTACTTTTGCAGGGAGGTGCCCCTGAGCCCTCACTTCCACTCCCTACCTTTTTTCTCTGCTTTCTTTTCCTCCCCCTCTTTACCTCTATAAATATTTTATGCGTTTTGCTTATTAAATGTATTGTCTCCCCACAACAAAATCGAAGCTCCCTTAGGTCTACCTCTGTTTTGTTCACTGCTGTATTCCCAGTGCCTAGAACATGCCTGACACAGTAGATCAATAAATATTTGTTAGACGAAGAAAAAAAAAAATCTAACTAGGAATGAACACCGGGGACCTGGACGGATAGGGGAGGCTGGACTTCCACCAAGTGTCTCTGGGCATGGCCCACCTCCCTGCAGACTCCTACCCCAGAGCCAGCCCACCTGCCCTCCTACAGGTGGGGGCCGGAGAGCGCTGGCCCGGGGCTTTTCCCACCTCCCTTCCGCTGCGCGTACCCACCCCGGGGGCTGGGCGGGGGCTGCTACGAGTTGCAGGCGGGGGCTCGGAGCTCCGGACCAGCCCCAGTCGGGAGGCCAGGGGCCGAGCCTTCCTCCGGGCGGGCGGGGGGCCGAGTAGGGAGGGAGCCCGGCGAGGGAGGAGCTGGAGGAGGGAGTGAGGGGGAGCGGCGGGCGCGGGAAGGGGAGCGCGGAGAAGGAGCCGCAGGGCGCTGGGAGGGGCGGAGGCAGGTGCGGGATCGCGAGGGCGCGAGCCGGGAAGGGCCCCGGCGCGGCGGGGCGGGCTGCCCCGGAGCTCGGCGGGGGTCGCGGCGGAGACAAGGCGGCCGCTGCGGGGAGATGCCGCGCGAGGAAGTGGATCGGGCGGGTACGCCGGGTGTGCGCACCTGCGCGCCGGGCAGCGGGTAAGCGCTCGGGGCCGCGTGCTCTCCGGGGAGTGGAAGCGTCTGCAGCCTGGCCCCAGCGGCGGTCCGCGAGGAACTGAGGCCAGGAGCGGCGCCCCTCCTGGGGCCTCGGGGGCCCAGGGCGTCCCGCCTCTCTGTGCCCTCGGACGGGCGCGCGCCAGGGAGAGGGTCCCGGAGGACTTGCCCGGCCGGAGGGAGGCGACCAGGGGTCGCCGTCAAGATCCCCGGGAGAAAAGGGAGGGCTGAGGCAGCGCCCGGGGCGGCTGCGGGATCCCACGCACGCGTTGGGGGTGCCCAGCGCCCAGGCGAGATCTGGAGGGGCGGGAGTCACCCCCGGGCCGGGGACTGCGACGCCCCCGGAGGGGCCCCGGTCGCAGAGGGAAGCCGGGCGCTGCCCCCTGCTGGCCAGGTTCGGGCGCGGCGCCGTGGAGCGGCCGCCCCTCTCTGGAGGGAGTTGAAGGGGCGTACGGTGTGGAGTCCCGGCTGGCTCCGGGCTGGGGCTGACCGGCTCCGTCACCTTGGGCAGGTCACTGCATCTCTCCGAGCCTCAGTTTGCACGTCTATCAAATAGAGGGGGATTCTCTGCCTTGCAGGGTCCGTGGGAATACGTGAGATCCGCGCTAGATGCTTTTTTAGAAACTGTAAAGTTCTATGTAAATCCTAGCTAATCACATAATGCTGGAACTGGAAGGGCGCTAAGAAATCTGCTTTATTACAAATGGGGAGAGTGGGGAATCCGTCTTGCCCAAGGTCATACTACCAGTAGAAGAATCTAAGACTAAAGTCCCCAGGTCTGGGAAAGTTCGGGATTAAGAGCAGGGCTCTCAGTCAGGGTGGTTGCATTAGCAAACTGGCCTTGGCCACCTACTAGCTGTGTGATCTCGGGAAAGCCCTTACCTTCTCTGAGGCGTGATTTCCTCCCATATGAAGTGGGGACAACAACGCTCACCCCACAGGCTTACAGTACAAATCTAATGGGAATGTCACTCAGCACAGCCCCTAGCTCCAAACAAGAGCTCAGCCACTGGTGGCCATCATTTCTCTGAGTAGCAGCAGCAGCAGCAACCCCTCCACTCTTCCTTGCAACCAGCTTCCAGTGTTTTCCAGTTGAGCCTGTGGTGTGGGTCTGTGCTGTCCTCTGGATCACACAGCCACTGGCTGGGGTCTCAGTCCTCCTCACAAGGACATTTGGGGACACTTTATCAGCAGCAAGCGAGGCCACTGGGGTAGCCGGCCTTTTTCAGTCTTTAGTCCTGCTCCACTGGTGGGGAGAAGTAGGCAGGCTTTGTCATTGGGACATCCAGGAAACCAGGACCTAGAGGGTAGCTAGGAGGGAGGGACCAGGCCAGCTGGACTTGACTGGCAGGGGCTAGGGCCTCTACCCCTACAACAACCTCCACAAGCGCTTCAGGGCCCTGCCCTCAGACCAAGGCTTTGACCTCATGAACAAGTAAGTCCCAGTGCAGCCCAGGGGTGGGGGATGGAGATCATGTCTCTGCAGCCACAGAAACCCTGAGCCCTAGTGCTGGCTTCCCGGTCCCAGGCCTGCCTGCTGGCTCACCACCACCCAGAACCTAGTACAGGGCCAGAAATACAGAGATGCTTCCTCAGGGTAACTGACAGAGTTACCCGATGGCTCAATAATGAGGGCGGGTCCACTGGGTCATCCCTTCTCTCCTAGGCCACAGATGGATGACTGTTTGTTTTGGTGAGAGTGATGTGAATGTGAGCAGAAATGTAGATTCTCAGAGTGTGGAGTTCCCAGGCCTGAGAGGTCTCTTTCATCGCACAGATGGTTCCCGTCTAAGGCCCACAGAGGGGCAGGGGTCAGCCGTGTCTTCCAGGAAGCTGAATTCAGTAGACACCACTCAGTCTTTGTGTTTATTTGTTTTTGTTTTTGAGACAGGATGGTGCTCTGTCACCCAGGCTAGAGTGCAGTGGTGTGATCATGGCTCGCTACAGCCTCAACCTCCCGAGTTCAAGTGATCCTCTTGCCTCAGCCTCCCCAGTAGCTGGGACTACAGGCATGCGACACCTTGCCTGGCTAACTTTTGCATTTTTTGCGGAGACAGGGTGTCGTCATGTTGCCCAGGCTGGCCTCGAACTCCTGGGCTCAAATAATCTACCCTCCTCAGCCTCCCAAAATGCTGGGACTACAGGTATGAGCCACAGAGCCTGGCCTGCTCAGTCTTTCACTATTCTCAGCAGCAGTTGATGCTGCTGACCATTTCTTCTCCCCAAAACACTCTTCTCTGGGCCCCTGTGACTTGACACTCTTACATTGTTCCCTCGTCTTCTCTGTTGTTTTTGCGGCTTCATTCTCCTTTCTACAGCCCTTAGATGCTCTGCTCCCCCAGGCCCTCTGCTCCTCTCCTAGTAGACACTCTCCCTGGGTGATCTCAGCCACCCCATTGGCTTTAGTTATCACCTCTATGTACATGACTCATACATGTATGCCTCCAGCCCAGATTGCTCCTCAGGCTGTTGACCCACCTATTTATTTTCAGCCAAGCACTGTTCTAGGCCCTGGGGATACAGGGATGAGCTAGACAGGAGGTGTATGTTAGCAGGGCATGAGGCAAGTGGGGGGCGTGTGGGAAAGACATGCAATAAACAAACAGGCAGAAAATATCAGATCGGGTTAAGTGCTAAAATGTGCATAAACCAGGGTGATGTGGTGGAGGAGGGGAGCTGCTTTATGTTGGCTGGTCAAAGTGTTGCCAAAGGGGTGATATTTAGGACGAACAACTGGTAGGAGATGAGGTCAGAGAGATGGCAGGGGTGGCAGCAGATCACGTAGGGCCTTGTAAGCCATAGGAGTTTTGAATTTTATTCAGAGTGAAGTGGGAGCTGTTGGAGAAATGTATTTATTTATTTATGAATGAATGAATGAATGAATGAATGAATGACAGAGTCTGGCTTTGTCGCCCAGGCTGGAGTGCAGCGGTGCACTCTGGGCTCACTGCAACTTCCACCTTTTGGGTTTAAGCCATCCTTCTACCTCAGCCTCCAGAGTAGCTGGGACTACAGGCGCGCACCATCATGCCCAGCTAATTTTTGTAGTTTTTGTAGAGATGGGGTTTCTCCATGTTGCCCAGGCGGGTCTTGAACTCCTACCTCTGGAATTACAGGCGTGAGCCATTGCACCCAACCAAAAATGGAGAGGAGGAAATACGGATCCTTCTCCAGAGCCTACTTGAGCCTTGCAAGAGAAGTTATTTCCTGTTATTTGCCAGTCTACTGTGCTGTGAACACTGGAGGGGGAAGGAAATAGGTAAATCTTCAAGGAGCTTCCAGCAGTAGGCAGTAAGAGGCATAAACAAACCTGGAGTCGAGAGAGGGCTTAAAGGAGAGAGATTTTGCTCTCAGTTGACCAGGGAAGACTTCCTGGAGGAGGTAGCTTTTGAAAAGGACCTCAGAAAGCAGAGAGAGGGGCTGGGTACAGTGGCTTACACCTGTATCCCAGCACTTCAGGAAGCCCAGGTGGGCAAAGTGCTTGAGCCCAGGAGTTCGAGATTAGCCTGTGCAACATGATGAGACCCTATCTCTAAAAAACAAAAGAAAAATTTAGAAAGCAGACAGGAGTACAATAGATATGTATGAAAGGGAATGGGAAAGAGTGCTGTTCCAGGCAGAAGGAACAGCCTGAACTAAGGCACGAATGCCCCAAACATGTAGTGGAGACAAGGGAGAGAACACAGAATGTGTAGGGGAATGAAAGGTCTGGCCTGTTAAGAGAAAGGCCCTAGACCTTGCCATTGATATGTGAGCCTCTGTTTCCTTATTGTTTTTTTGTTTTGTTTTGTTTTTAGATGGAGTCTCGCTCTGTCGCCCAGGCAGGAGTGCAATGGTGCAACCTCAGCTCACTGCAACCTCTGCCTCCTGAGCTCAAGCGATTCTCTTGCCTTAGCCTCCCAAGTAGCTGGGACTATAGGCGCGTGCCACCGTGCCCAGCTAATTTTTGTGTTTTTAGTAGAGACAGGGTTTTACCATGTTGGCCAGGACGGTCTTGATCTGACCTTATTATCCGCCCGCCTCGGCCTCCCAACGCTTATTATTTTTATGAAGTAACTGGTTAAGCTCTGGGGAAGATAGTGAGGAAGAATTCAAAGCCTGGGCTAGGTGTGGAAGAACAGGATAAGGTCTGCTACAAAAGAGGCGCTGGCCAGGTGTGGTGTTTCACTCCTGTAATCCCAGCACTTTGGAAAGTTGAGTGGGGTGGATTACTTGAAGTCAGGAGTTCGAGACCAGCCTGGCCAACATGGTGAAACCCTGTCTCTACAAAAATACATAAATTAGCTGAATGTGGTGGCATGCACCTGTAATCCCAGCTGCTTGGGACGCTGAGGCAGGAGAATCACTTGAACCCGGGAGGTGGAGGTTGCAGTGAGTGGAGATTGAGCCGCTGCACTCCAGCCTGAGCAACAGAGTGAGACTCCCGTCTTAAGGAAAAAAAAAAGGGCACTCAAGAGGGCCTGCTATGAGTGAGGTGGCTTGAGTTTAGGGCCCCTGTGGAACGTCAAGGAGGGATGACCAAAGGATATTTGGGGTCAGAGGTACAGAGAGAGGAGTCAAACAAAGGTAAAACTGTCAGTATTCTTTTTTAATTCATTCTTTGAGTAAATCTCAGCATCTGTGAGTATTAAGCCTAAAATATACAGCTATGAACAAAGCCGTATCCCTGCCTCGGGAATGCACCATCTTGTGGGGAGACAGACCCAGGCATTGGACTGCAGGATAATGAGATGTGTATTACAAATCCTAAACACAAGGCACTGTGTTGGCATAGAGAGAGGCTGGCTCCACTTGGGCAGGAGGAGGACAAATTTCAGTAAAGAGGGGAGAGTTAAACTTGGTCTTGAGAGTGAAGTTGGAGCTGGATGGTGGGTGAGAGGGACGGGCATGCCACACACAGGGCAACTCATGCTTCATGGCATGAGTTGCCCCTTCCTTCCGGAACTCAAGTCTAGCAAGGAGACAGGGGTGGGGTGGGCAAGAAA